CCAGTTAACGTTGCTTACTGAGACTAATCTTTGTTTGAAACATATCGTCATCCCTGTCATTACCTTTGACAAAACAGAGATAACAATATGTTTTAAATAAGGATTTTAGTCTCAGAAACTCACAGTTAATCTTCTTTACACTTAAAAATGTCTCCAACTGCCATAAAACTTATTCAAAAAAGTATTTAAGCATTTTCAAGAATGAAAGGGATGCCAATATGTTTTTATACTCGTTTCAAACAAATGAAAACAAAACAATTGCTATCTCTATCTAACAAGGTCTGTAAAATCTGTCTATCTCTGTCTAGGTCACGAGTCGATTTTGGAATCTATAGTTCGCCTGTAATCGTAAATATTTTTTTTAAAAAGCGTAATATTTCTTCAAACTATGCATAAGTGACATAAATAGAAACCGTTATACACCTGTGTACATCAATGTGCCATCGATTTAGCGTTGCATTAGAAATCGTTGCGCCAGTGAAAGCCGCGCCCTGACATGACAGCAACTCTAACGACCTTCCTATCTTGTATGAATAACACATCAAAAAACTCTACATAGATTCATTCCAAAAGTAAGTATAAGTACAAACTACTTTTTTTTTAATCAAGTCACATAGACAAATAATAAATTAATATAATACTACCGATTTACAATGACCAGTATGGTAGATACGACAAATATAAATATACCTCATAACGTCGCTTGCTATCAAGTACCTACTTAAAATAAGCTCTTAATAGTCCTCAAGCGATAATTATAACATTACAAGACGCATCTTCATAACTTCAACTAACAAGCTCATATTGCGCTAGTTATAATACATAGAGGTCATTCACATGAAAACACAGACAAACATAGCGTACATAAAACATATAATACTTAGTAAAACTATGTCTTTCTCGCTGAACAAATATCACAGTTTAATATGCACAAAGTAAATTTATATATTATAAGTAATCAAGCATATGTTATATATAAAATTCTCGTGTCACAATTTTCGTTCCCATACTCCTCCGAAAGGGCTTGACCGATTCTCATGAAATTTTGTGACCATATTGAGTATGTCAGAATCGGCCAACATCTATTTATACCCGCGCGGACGGAGTCGCCGGCGACAGCTAGTTATGTTATAATAGTTAACGTTGTTTTCATTTATATTTTTATTTCGAGAGTCACTGCTAGGGCCCGTGTGGCATATCCCTTAATTTACGAACAGCACAGTTCATTCATAAAATAATGCCTTCAAGTTTGAAATTTCCTTTGCATTATAGGTTCAAGCGATTTAACTATGCTCGTCATATTCATATTATGTCTATAAAGTCGAAATTCTTTTGTCATGTAATTCAATCCCTCGCTTATGTCGCATCAGGAGCATCCGAGCGTTTCGTAAGGCCACGGCCAAGTCACGCCTCGACGCGTGGGAAAGGAGTCCTTCGAGGATTCGACATGTACGTCATTCTTTTACTACTCCTGACTTTATGAACAGCACAAGAACTCCAATGCTTTGCGTTTTATAGTGTAAATCTCGTAGGCTCTCAGATTTACTGATTTGAAAATAATCCTTAAACATTAAAAACCCATATATAGTGTATTTTCGTTCGTGTAGATTCGAAACTATGAACTATTCTATTGCACGCTACTCAATTGGCGCGGGATAAAATAAAAAGTTCTACATCCATGCCAAATTTCATCGAGATCCATTGAGTCGTTTCAGAAATACCTTCAAACAAACATCCATCCATCCAAACATTCGGGTTCATAGTACAAAGTAAGAATACTAGCACAAAAAGATTGTAAATACGTCGGACATTACGTTCGTTCAGTTATATATCTACAGTATTGTATACAGTGCTTTTTATTTAAACAGGTTATTAATACGATGTTTCACATAACGTATACGCATAAAACCAAAACAATCAGGTAAACAAGCCGGATAACTGATCGAAAACTTCCCGCCATTGTGCCTACTTATCGTAGCGGAAAACTTACGCGTTTGTATATCAATAATAACGCAAAATAAAACATTATTTTAAAATTATTACACTATGTTATTTGTTTCTTGAAACCTTATGGTTTCAAACCAGTAGCATTCCCTTGCACTCGGAATAGACGACGAAAGTAACAACCAGAGACTACCACCCATTCGAAAAATTTTGGGCACCCCTTGATGCAGCCAGAGCAAATAACAAAATAGCATCGCTCGTCTCGTCAGTAAAATTACGTATCAACCAGTTTACACAAGGAATAATCGGACAAAAGTTTAATAATCCGTATCTAAAAATTAAGATTGAAGAGAACGAAAAAAAAAATATATTTTTAAGGCTAGAAAATGAAAACCTATTAAGTGTTCCTTCAAATACTTCTCCACAAAAGGTTGAGAACCTCTGGTCTATGGTTTATCTTACTATTGTTGACCCTCAAAAATCAGAGTAATATATATAAATGTTTAAATTAACTCACCTCTGTTTTATCAGCAATCCTCAAATCTTCTAAACTCTTACTGCAGTTCTCCTTAAATCTCCAACTACTCAAAGTTCCATATTCACTCTTTTTAACAATGGGCACATCACAATCTCCTACATATGGCTCATCGTAAATAGGTTCCTCATCCATTGTATAAGCTAGTGTATTTCTAAAATCTGATTTAAGATAACTCGTAAAGTTACATTGATTTTCTTTCTCTTCAACACGATCCTTACATTTGCAGTTCAAATAACATTTAAAACCATCACCAGAATGACATTTACTGCACTCATTCGGTATTTTATCATCAATGAAAGTGCTAAGACGAGGCTTACAATCATTACAGTTACCGTTATCTGTGCAAAAGTGTCCCGAATCACGGTTTATAGTACCTGCACTCAATCTAGTATATGGCAAGCTTAATGTTGAATGATTATTTACTATGGCACAATTTAATGATGTGAAACAATTTGTTATAGGATTAAGAATGTTTTGATTAGCCATTAGTGACCTTTGTGCTATATCCAGCACTTCTGTACATAAGTAGTGCATTTCTTTAGGCTTTGTTTTACTCATATCAGCCTCTACCACATCGTAAATATGTTTATTAGATTGATTTTGTGCTTCCTTTCTTTGTAAAGCTTTCTCAAGCTTTTCTATCATCTTTTTAGTGTCTTTCCTCTTCTTTTCAGGAGATTCTGGTTGAGGTACCGCTGTAGCTTCTGGTATAGGAGCAGCGAAAACACGAGGTGGTTTTTTAGGTGGAGGACCTGGAGGTAATGGCTGTTTTAGAGCTTTTTTCAGAGTGTCTGTTAAAACTAAGTGAGGATTCTTACGTTCCAGCTTCATTGTTTCACTTGATGCGCACAGATCGTTCATGGACTCCAAATTAGTTTTATCAACATCACTATTAACAGTTTCAGTTTCTTGAACATTATCTTTTATTTCAGGTATATTGAGAGTGATATCAGGTTTTTCATAGTGAGACACAAGTTGTTTAATTTTACTAAATTTTTCCTCTTCCAAATTTTCTGTTTCCGAACTAACACCACTGTCCGTCATAGCATCCTGTTTGTTATCTGTGTCTTTCTTTTTTACAACTTTAGCATACTGATCCAATATATGCTTCGGGACTTGAGAATCCGGGATAGAGTTGCCATCGGTTCTAATCATTTGAATTTCACCAACAATTACTTTATTGTTGGTTACTTTAAAATTTTCCTTTTTCATTTGATCCTCCAACAAGTTTCCGAGACGTTTCAGTCTATCCTTACTAAGTTTCTTTTCGCCCATTTTTAATGTGAAATCACCAGATTCCGACCTACCATTACAACTTCCATGCCTTTTAGGTGTGTCATTGATTTTCTGGCTCCGGTCACAGCGGAATGCGTGACTTCTGTGCAGTTTCTTACCAGGATCACTAGTTTGGCGAGATAGTAATTTCTTTGTATCACCAGCAGTCCTTTTTACTTCACTGTACAAATAGCTGTGGTTAGGTTTAGGCGATATATCGTCACTAGAGTCTGAATCAGCGCTATTGCTTTTCTCCTTAAACGATATTTCATTTCGCTCGGTTATGTTTCCTTTACCTATATAAATATTTTCACTGCCTACCTCGCTGACCTTACTTTGTATACACAGCTGCTTCGGAGCGATTCGTTTACGAACAACCGGGACGTTTTCGACATTCAAATTCTCAAATTTACTTTTTATCGCTTGCACTCTGTTGGACGATATCATTATTTTGGAGCAACGAACATGTTTAAGCACTAAATTTCACTTCAACACAACATACACACAATTCGTGTCAATCCTTATCACAATATTGTACAGTATTATTCGATAACTTACACAAAGACACTTCAACTAGTGAACATGTTTATATTTCGCTATGAAAATTAATTGCACTGTCGTTTATTTCAAAAATTAACTCAAAACATGCGCTGTTAAAAAAAACTGTACGACTATGACCGCGTTATACACCTGTTTAACGTTTCTTTTTTTATTTATTCACGTTATAAAAACAGACAAAAGCTTGATTCCTGTTGAATTTAAAACAATCAACTGGATAAGTTGAACGTGCAAAAGTTGCAACACCTGCGTCCGTACCACGACGGATTGTTATTTTCTCGACTTCGATATTTTGAAACACGAACACGATTCACTTGACAGAAAGTTTACATAAACAACAGTTCCCCGCTCGACTCGTGTCAAGCTCGTGATAGACAAAGAGAGCAGAGTATTATAGTGATACCATACTACAATTCACAATATCTACCATTTTAAATAAAAAAAAAAAACTATGGTAGCTTTTTAAAATAAAATTAACGCCTCAAAATTACTAAAGTAGATCCAAAAAAAGTAAATCTATTTTATTACAAATGACGTTAACGAGGATTAATGGGAGAATGACGATATTTTCAGTTCTTAAAAACTTAGTCAGCCTTACTCATCATTAAAATACATGTTAAAGCTGTCACCAACCACAAAAAAGAAATAAAAGAGCTATGATAGGAAATAATTTATTAGAATTAACAAATTCGTTACATTTTTCAAATGTACTAATCACTCAACTTAAAATTATTATTCGAATAAGGCATATATTATTGGACTATTACATTTACATGAGTTTTGAAAATTATTACATGGCTTCGGGTTATTACGTATCGGGAAAAGTATTATGACAAGAATCTTATTCTTACAGAATCATGGGTTTATCTAATATCCGGTAATGATCATGCCCTTTTCAACTTGATCGGCCTTTTCTTTTCCAGTTAGCATTTCTATCAGTTTCAATCCAAACCAGTAAGCGGTACCTGGACCCTGAAAAAGAAAAAATAGTTTTAAATTATTCAAAATGTTTCGTTTTTTGTTTATGGTTAAATTGTTTCTTATAACTAGCAACACTTACTCTGCTGGTAACAATGTTGTCATCCACAACAACCCTTTCTCCCTCAACATAAGTATAATCTCCAGTGATTTTGTCTTTGGTTGTAGGGTATGATGTTAATTTCTTGCCTTTAGCAATACCATGGGCTACAAATGCTGTTGGAGCTGTGAAAAAATATGTGGTTAATTCTTCCTTAGTGTTCTGTATAAGTAATCTACCCTAAGGGACTCCCTTAGTTATGACTGACTGTTCCAATGAAAGATATTTATTATACATATTAATTCTGTTCATTATTCTTAATTCCAAAGATGAACTGCGTTGACATGGTCCAATCCTAAAGGAATAATCATCCCATATGGTTTTCTCAAGATAAATAATTAACTGTTCCAAGATTTTAGGAGTGTTTTGGCTATCATTATTGCGATTCTAGGATGATTTTACTCACATAACTATTTTACTACCATGAAATTATACTAATATTATAAATGCTAATATTTAGATGGATGGATGTTTGTTCGTTTCTAGCATCACCAAAACAGTTCAATGGATCCCAATGAAATTAGGCATATATGTAGAACAGTCTGGAAGAACACACTACCAATTATGTTTTTCTTTACAGCGCGTGGACGAAGTCGCAGGCGACAGCTAGTAAATTATGAAGTTTATAATCTATGAATTAAAGTTGAACATTGATTTAAACTTACCAGCACATATTGCAGCTACAATTCTGCCATTTTTCTCATGATCCTTCAAAAGAGTGCCAACAATACTGGACTTAGAAAGACGATCAGATCCCTCTAGACCACCTGGGAGTATTACCTAAAATTAATATTTAAATTAAAATCTAAATATTTATTGATTTTAATATAAACTAAAATGAATAAAGTACAGTAGAACACCTATTAACCAAATTGCCAACAATTCCAATTGGTAATAAGCATTATATAAAAAGATTTGAATTGACTCTAGTCCAAATTGTTTCGGATAATCGGTTTTCTACTATATACCAATTAGTTGTGTTCCAAGTGACCAAAAAAGCCTTACAGCGTCAAACTGTGGATTCTCAGCCAGTGCATCAGTTAATGACTTATCTGGGACAAGAGTCATCTGACGAGAGCACAAGACAGGAGCATTGCTGTCCAGGCCTGCCAATGTTACTGTTACCTGAAAAATTCATAAAATGTATTTAAGCAAAGTTTCAAAATGAGATAGTAAGTTTATTATATATAATATTATTTAATATATAATATTGAAGGATCTACATTAAATCATTCTTCCATAATATTTAAAATGAAATAAAGTGTAGTGTATCCAATTGGCAGCAAGAATATTAAATTATCATTTTTATAGAATGTAGGAGTCAACAAATGATAAAAATTGAATACCCACCCCTCCTCTACGAAGCATGTCAACGGTAATGACAGTCTCCATCTCTTCAGCGCCCTGAGCCAGGATAACCAAAGCAGATTTTGACATTGTTCCAGTTGTATGGAGAGATCTGTGGAAATTAATTGTAAACCAAATTTAAATAAACACAGTAAGACCTTACCTTAAATGGATTTTTTTTATTTATTTCAATCTAAATCTATTCTTTTATCACTAGTTACTTGACGTCTTGAACTACGAATAAGCCGGGTTATCTAGATTATGCAAAACAAATACAAGCAATTATAAGCTGTTATTGAAATTTACCTGATATTCGCAAAAGGTTGATTTCTGATCTGATGGTTGCTAATTTTAATCCCAAATTGAGTGCTTAATAATCTCGAGGAAGTTGACGTGAATGCAGATTTTTTAAAAATGGAAAACATTGAAATTGACACGATAATTGATAAAGGTCACCCCCTTGTCACTGTCACTGTCACCCTTTCCTTTTTTTTTTTAATTTTATGACCTGGTAACATAGACCTTTAGGTCATTTCTAATTTGGAAAATGTTCATTACTTTGGATCATCCTTGACCCATGATTAATTATCAAAGAGCAACCTGATAAATGAAATCGAACTCAAAAGGTTTTTGTCTTTCATAAGTCGTCCTATTTACAATACTAAAGCATATTCAATTTGGCTAATTTGTGTTTCTTTCAAGGACGAATTGATTTTCATCTGAAACTACAATTTTCAAAAATCAAAACCTAAAAGAAAAGTGCTACCATCAACTTTTTGTATTATAAGTATAATTAGATGTTATTAAAAGCATAAAAATCATTTCAACTCGTCCTAAATAAGTGAACACCTTTTTTTTAAATATAGGTTTGTTACAAAGGAAAAGGAAATGCGTACATATTTAATCTTTGCTTGCTTATAAAACCATCAACAACAGACCAACAGACAGATGTTCGTTGACGGCAGTTGACGGCTTTTCTGCTTTGTCTATGAGCAGCTTCCTTTCATACATAACGTCAGTAGAACAAAAAAAACTGTTCTTTTTGTTTTATTAATTTTATGATTATACTTGACCTTTTGGTTGTGAATCATGTAATTTTATAGTTTCTAGTCTAGCCGTAGTTTTTTCTTGCATTTTGTGTGTTACTTTTGTGTTAGTTTAGTGTGTAAATATTGCAGTGAGGTTAGAAGCTGGTCATTTTTTATCACTAACTGATTTTTTATATTGATTTAATTAAGTTAATTCAGAAAATAACATGGATTTTGTTAAAAGAGAAGATCCGAATGTCCTCGATGAAGAAAGTTACAAGGTTTATATAGATAGTGTAAGTATTTGGAAAAGATTTGTTGGATATTGTAACTTTTTTTTGAAACTCTGTGTATAATATTTTGATTTTTAATTTAAGAGTTATTCCTAATAGAGTAATTGGAATTTAGGTATATTTTGTAAGACATATTATAACATACACTTTTATTCAAATTATTAAAAAACAATTTAAAAACATATTGAATTAAACATTTCACTTACAACAGTTAGTTTAACAATTATACTAAAGAATTAATTTGTACCGTTTAATTAATAATAATATTACCGAATAATATTATTATTTATTTGTTTTATCTAATAAAATATTATCTCTATTTTAATTGACAAGCAAAACAACTAGCTAAAACTAAAAACTACAAAAAAGTTAGGTAATGCTATATTGTTATAATTAGAATTAAAACTTAAAACATTTACACCTTAAAAAGAAAAGAGTGTAATAAAATAGCAAATTTTTAAGTGTTTTCTCTAAAGAAACTATGATTAAAACAAGTTTCATGCCTACATTATACTAGTGGAAACCATTGAGATACTGATTGAATAAACCTAGGGAAAAAAAGAAAATTGTAGTTTAAAAAAATAAAAGTGTGAATCATGAAAAATATGTTATGTAATAATTGATAAAAATAAAAATTTATCTTACTACAATGATTAGCATATTTTGCTTCTCAATAATTAAAGAAGTATTGAAATAAAATTATTTAAATAAATATTACAATCTTTACCATATGAATTAAACAAAAAAATTAAGATTTAAAATAAAAATTGTTTTTCTCCAATAAAAATAGAATCTTCTAATATTCATCTCAATTATAAATAAGTGAAAAATCCTTTATCTCAGGTTTATACCCATATCTAGTAAGTAAACTTCCTGCCTCCCACAGCAGCATTGTGGAATGGTCTGTCCATGGCGGTATTTCTAAACCGCTACGACTTAGGGTCCTTCAAGAAACGAGCTTATCACTATCTCAAAGGCTGGCAACGCATCTGCAGTTCCTCTGGTATTGCTGATGTCCATGAGCGTCGTTGAGCACCTCGATGTTCCCGGTGCTCGTTTGCCCCCCTTCTTTTATAAAAAAAAACATGTCTTACATCTATGTTAGTATTTAAAATTATATATTATTATAATTTCATAAATATTTTTTTAATTATTAAATAACCAGTGTCATAAAACACACTTTACGTAAGAAAATATAAATAAATTATCATTACAGTTTCAGAAAACCCATCAGATGGATATGTCTGACTATCACACACCGATATCCATAGAGCAGCTGCATCAGGCTATGCAGTCATCTCTTAACGCAAGTTCCATTGTCCACAACTTTCAACTCTCACCGAGACAGATGTCTACTCTCATGTTAAAATCCAATCATCTAAGCAGAAGTTTGAACTTCACCGATCTACCTTCCCATTTACCACGCAACCTTACATCTGATATGGACCTTGTACATAATTTAGCCAACGATTTGCCACAAAACCATCGCCATGATGATCTACTCTTAAACAGTAATCTAGCACGTAATCTTGAAATGAGAAATCTGAACGATTTAGAATTACAAGCAAGTTTAACTCAAACTTTAGTGCAAAATTTAAACGAACAAGAACTAGCTAGGAACATGACTGTCGAGATGGGGCGTATTAATGATGTTATACCACAAAACATTGGCAGAAGTGATGCCCATTTGCCCCATGATTTGGGACACGAGATAGATTTATCACATCACTTAAATAGACAGAATATTGAACAAGATGTGATGATGAATCAGGAAGGTAGACGAACACCGTTGATTCAATCTATACAAGATGGTCATATACTTGAACAAAATTTAGTACAAAGGTTGGACCAAAGGTTAGATCAAACATTGGGACATAGAATGGAACATAAAATGGATTTGAATTTGCACGAGACAAGCCAACGGCACACAGAGCAAGAACATTTGTTACCAATGCCATTTCATATTAAATCAGAACAAGAAGACGATGGTTATTTTTACGAAAGCATTAACCATGGGATTAATAATAATGCAATAAATGGTAAGTTGCATCAAATTTGTAAGAATTTTTTTTATCTATATCCATACAGTTAGTAAAATTTGAATGTCTGTATGTATTACCGGAAAAAAATCGTGTACATGATGTATATGTATTTGCTTTAATTATATTAAATTTTCTACCGTCTGTCTGTAAGTCACGTTTTGTTCCGGGTAATTCGCTGAAACAATTTTTACCAGACTCAATGGAAGGTAGCTAGGTATTATATGCACCTTTTTATTTATGCTTGTTCTAATTCCAAGCTGACGAATTCGCGGTCGACTGCTAACATAACAAAGTTTACATCCGTGTCGATTCTGTGCATAACATTGCAATTATAGATTATTTTAATGTCCTATAAATTATTCCTAAAAAATGCATTATATGACCATATTCAACCCGCGTCAGTCCCATGAATATTTATATGATACCGGTGAGAAAGGTCAGTAGCGGACTGGTTTCTAATACCACTAGATTCTCAAATCAAACGTTTCCATAATATGTTGCATCTTTTCACACGACGTTTTTTTTCTTCTCTGGTTCAAATTAACACTAAAAACCAGTTGAAGAAATGTCATTGACGATGTTTTCAAATATTCGTATGCACTTTTAAATGTCATCTGATATTCAAATTGACTATTTTCATTGCATCTGTAAATATAGCTATCAAATTGACTGTTTAACCTTCATTTGACCAGAAGTTTCTTGTTTTTTTTTCTAATATTCTGATTCCTAATTTAAATAAATTGATTTTTAAATTTTGCACATTTTTACTAATTTCTAGCAATGTCTTCGATATAAATTTACTTAAAATATGCTTTAAATTGTAAGTGATTATCTCTTAATTACAGGTCATTTATCTCTCCATCAAGAGCACACGTCAGCGAACGCAGCTTCACTCCCGCAAGACCAATTACACTATTATAATAATCAATTACCCATTTCAGCGTTAAATTCAATAGACCATTTATATTCTCGTCCACAAAATTATGTTCAAAATTACGGCACTAATATCAGTCGAGATAATCCACAAAATCTAGTTGTCCATAGACAATTTAATAATAGTCCGTACCCTGAAGAGTTTAAAAAACCAATTGAAGATGGCGATGTTGGCGGGAAAATTGACAGCTCCAAAAATGAAGAACCTAAAGAAAATCTAAAACCTACTGATCAAAATAAAATGTTTTATACAGAGTATAATCAAAATACTTATACAAATAACACTGACAAGAACGAAAATGAATCCAATATTAATAATAAATTATTTGACGAAGTTTCAATGAATATAAAAGGAGAATACGCTTGTTTTAAATGCAATGAAGTGTTCCCTTGTAAGCGTGGTTTGAGACAACACGTAAAAACATGCGTCGAGAATGGAGAAATGAATGATTTGGTAGAAAAATTGGGAAAATTCTGTTGCACGCAGTGTTCGTATCGGTGTCAATCGCCCGCCATTTTGAAAATACACGAGCGAACGCATACAGGAGAGAAACCGTATTCATGTACATTTTGTGATTACAAATCCGGCCAAAAGAACAACGTAGCCAAACATATTCTAGTACATATGAAAGAAAAACCATTTAGATGTCAGTATTGTGATTATAGGTGTGCTCAGAAGAATAATTTAGTAGTGCATGAGAGAACTCACACTGGTTATAAACCGTTTGCTTGTCCATATTGTGATTACAGGACGGTTCAGAAACCTAATTTAGTGAAACATATGTACTTACATACGGATCAGAAACCTTTTAGTTGTGATATGTGTAGTTATAGATGTGTACAGAAAACTAACCTAACAAAACACAAACAGCGACATATGAACGATAAGGAAGGTGATAAAGTTGAGATCAAAGGTCAAGTGAAGCCGTACAGACCTCGACAGAAGTCTGTCAAGTGTCCACACTGCGCGTACAGATGTGTACAAAAGTCTAGTTTAGAGAAACATTTACAATTCAAACATAATGAACTTAGTATTGAGTTTGTGCCGGAGTACAAGCAAGGTGTTAATTCAAAATGTGACGATATCTGTGATGATACGATACAAAATTTGAGTGTTAAAAAAGACGACCCTGTGTACGTTGAGAATGTGTGCCAGGACAAAGCAATGGAGCCTTTGAAAATTCAGTCATAGTGTTAAGTGTTGTTTTTATATTAAGTGGGACATGTATATACTAGGTAAGTTTTCTGGATATGCATGTGTGTCCAAGATTTCTCAATTTATATAGTTTATATGACCATAGTTCAAAGGTAGAATAAGTTTTAATATAGGGGCATGTCATTTAGCTGGTATAAATTTTTGTGAATTTTGACTTTAGTTACAATTTTATTCCAAAGTCAAAATACTCAGAACCAATCTTTATCTTTTAAAGAGAATGTAAAAGAAAATAATATGTGTCATTACAACACTGATCGTTATAAATGGACTGGGTATAAGACATAGTATTTTGTGCCTATTAGAGTTTTGGCGCGTTTAAACCAGAACAAAGTAACTCTGTCAGTTCCAAGCAATCCCCTATCCATTTATAGTGCTTTATGAGCATTAAAATCCAGTTTTTTTTCTTCTGAAATATTAGAACAAAAACATATCATTTTTGTAGGTTGTACAAAAAGTTACATACAAGCATGTATTCATTTTATTTCAAGAAACAATTTTAAAACCAATTGTGAATTTAAAATACCACAAAATGGGTATCTAACGGTGTTGCCAGTATATGTATACTATTTCTACCATTTAATGGCGCTGGCGCTACCAAAAGCTTATAAGGACTACTACATTTTTGCTTTTGAAACTAATAACAAAAAGAGGTTAATTAATTACAGAACATTACTTATAATTTTTTTAATAAATATACTAATATTCTGATTAAAAAATGATTTTTTTCGATATATCGTATGTCAAATTGGCATAGATAAGTTTGATTTTTTTTTATCTGTAACTACCAATGTTGCCACATACAAAAACATCGAAAAAGGTTGCCTTATTGATGACATGCCAAATTATTTTTATTGTGATATAGGTTGTTATGTGCTCTCTTGATTCCTATGAATTTTATGTGATTTTAAACAGCATATATCTTGCTGTTCTTATTATATAAGTTACGTAGTTGGTTTATATAGAGGGCGCTAGTGTCTTAGTAATGTTGTTTTTACTACTAGGAAAAACCAGATTGGGTCGATAGTATTGATTGTAAATCTAAAATTGACATGTGATTTTTTATGAGAAATATGATATAAAATATGGAGAAATTAAGTAATTCTTAATTAAATTAATTCTTTATTTATAATTTGAGTTAATACTTCAGAGTACTAAAAACCATTTAAACAAATTTAATTGTATTTTCTACTAACATTAAGTTAAGTGAAAACAATGAGGAGCTTGTTTATACTATCAGAAAATTATGAACCTTTGAAACGGTCAAAGAATTTAATTCACTATCCACTAAAAATGGAAGAAAACCGTCACCATAATAAAATTTAGTATATGTATATGCTATAAATTTCGAGCTAAATGGGTAGGGAAAAAATGTCCTTGACTATGTAATTTTTTTAGTAGATATTCATTCGCCACTCATCTGGTTTTTCTTATGAGTTAAATGAAATTGCGTTGTGAAATATTTTAAGTCAAGAAGAATTGAAAGGTGTTGAAATGGATTTGTTTTTAAGATTTTCTATGTCTTTTTTTTTCTTGCTTTTGGGTATATTTATTTGTTTTGTTTTTCTTAAAATTACAACAATATAAGCCAATATTTTAATTCTTCTAAAATGAATTTAGTATTTTGAAAATAACATCAATTTTTTATGCAAAAATTTATTATGGACTACGGATTATGTTCGCCAAATGCTCAATTTGGTTGTAAATTATTTGTTGTCATTTTGGGAAAATATAAAACAAATGCTTTGTGTAATATGAACAATAAAATGTGGAATTTATAAAGAAAATGTAAAAATGGTATTTTGAAGTTGAAATGTTTGAAATCTCAAGATAAATCGAAGATTCTTTTTCTCAAATTCCATTTTTATGTTTTAAAATTCGTTACCAAGAGATTTGAGTGTACCTTTGCTTTTATTTTTAAAATCACAATATTATTGTAATATCAAATATTGCGTTTAAGATTTTTCTAGTGATATTTTTAAGTTAATCAAGTTTTTTGTATGTTCATTTTGTAATTAAATGCCGCTTACCAAAGTGTTTAACGACTTTTATTGGATTGTGTTGAAATGGAAGATTTTTTTACAAATATTGCTACTAAGCGATAGATGGCGCTTGAATACAGTGTAGAAGGTGCCGATGAATGAGAGTTTTGTTGAAAAATAACGCTTTTGCTATTCGGCAATAGATGGCGCTGCACTATCAGTAAAACGTATTCTACTTAAAAGAAACAACAGTATTTTTCTTATGCGTTATTTAGGTGTGTAATTTGAACATAATTTTTTATAGAACAAATATGCGAAATTCGTACTTTTCAAGATAAATCAAAGGTGCGCTAAAGCACAATCAATTTTTTTTAATTTTCTAGGCAGGATTTTAGATCTACGCACCCTTGATAAATTACTAATTAGTAAGTAAAGACAACGGAAAATGTAAGGATGGAAAGAGCGTTAGGATTAAGATGAATTTTGGAATATTATGTTATATAATAAAATGATAAAATGAAAATATTAAATAGAATTATTAGAAATAAAGAGAAAAGCACGCACTGTTACAAGAATATATTTACAACTCATACTTTTTTTATAGAGAAAAAGGAAGAAAAAACATATAAAGTTCTAAATTCAAAAATAAAACAATTATAAATAAAAACGTGTAAAAAGTTCCGTATCTGTCGGCAACAGTAAGCTAATAGTATAAATGCGAATGTTTAGATGGACGGATGAGAATGGATTGATGGGTGTTTGTTTGAAGGTATCTCCGGAACGGCTGCTGAATAATGCTGAAATTTGGCATCGACCTAGAACATAGTCTTGAAGAACACATAGGGTAGTAATTTAGTTTTTAATTCTCTCCCGGATGGTGTCGCGGGCGACTACAAGGCTAGCAATAAATATTACAATAGCTAGACATCTTTATGATCATTGCATCTGGAACTACTGCTGCCTTAAAATAATCAAACGATACTCTGAATCTCAGTTAATTTAAAATATCCGTAAACAAAGGAGTAATACTGTTTCATAGTTAACCAAATAAAAAATCATACGCTGTTATTTCCAACCTGTCACGTCACAGATTATAAAAGGGAACAAAAAAACCCGCGAAGTTCGGTAGCGGCGGGAAGCGTTCGCTAACAGAAACAATTACCAGCGGCCGGCCTCGGCTGCGGACTGATTGACGTGGCTCCCGGCGGTTAATAGCACCACGCTAAACGGATAAAACGGGACAAACCTGTTAAATTAAAAAAACAAATAATTTGCCTGTATGCACATTTTTTTAAAGAAAATTAAGTAGTTTACATATTTACCCGAATAACTGTTTAACTATTCGTTTTGTTCTGAGACCAAAATCTCTGTATAAGATATGTTCATTCCTATCGTTATCTTTAATAAAACCGATATAACAATGTTTTAAACGGAGATTTTAGTCTCAGAAACCCATCAGACAAATGAATTGAAACATCCTTAGCATGGAAATAAGCAACAATAAGCCTTTTCCAATTCCGACGTGATCTACAAAAATTATCAATGTCCTGCAAATGTCAACACATCTGGCAACACTAGGATCGCCTCGGGAGCGGTCAGGAACACTCAGTTCTAATTTGAATTACCGGCGAATTTGATTTGTTCGCTACTGGCACTGGATTGACGTTCGGATATTTTGACTGTTTACTTGATAAGTAGCGTATACATGGTCATGGCAACCATGTATTAAATATCTTTTGAAATAAAATGCCCACAAAATTTTATAGTTTTAGACAATATTAGTTAGAACACATCGGCGCTCGTAGCGCGCTTTCGTTACCAAGTGTCAGATTGATTAGTGAGGGGACATAAACGTTGATATTTTAATAAGGCTAGTGTTGCACCGATACACCGTACAGAGTCGGATTTTCTTCCTAATAAAACGTAAGCTTACAAAATATGTTAAAAATAAATTCTGATAATTCCGTCTAGAACATAGAAGTAAATTGAAATAATAACATTAAAAGGATTCATTATGGTAACAAATTAATCGTCGCCGTTGTGTCGTCGTTGTTCAACTGATGATGGTGGACAGTTCGTAACTTTGCCGCACTCTATTAGAAAAAATAAACAAAATAAATGACAATATAAAGATGAAACAAGGCCAGGAAGTAAAGAATACAGATTATGTTTAAACGATTGTTAAATGTCTTGAAATCTTTTTAAAAACAGATGAAAGGGGAAAAGATAAGATAACGTAGGGGCGTGCCGGTGACGTCAGCCCGCACAATAAAGGAATGTCCCGCGCCCCCTAGCGGCCTGTTTTTGAATATATCTGCGTATCCGGAGATTCGTTTGACAAATTGAATTAATTCCATATCTGTGATCGCATCGGGATTTCTGTTTAATCATATGAAAACTTGTAAAACTTTCCATGTGATTTTGAATATTTTACTATGAAAAATGTATATTTATTTCTTAATCTTTTCAAATAGGTTTTTTTACACAATATTTGTTAGAACCATTTTCGGCGAATGACGTGCTTTTGTTAGAAAGTCCAGTGTCAGAATGAAGAGTGAGGACTGCGTCATTTTCGGATTTTCTTCTTAATTAGTTTTAATTTACAATATGAATCTTCTGCATACATAAAACAAGAACTAGTGAAACTAAGAAACTTATTCGCAAAGTTTTTTTTTCTAGAATATATAGATCGTAAAATCAATAAAAAATTGCCTTTAAAATTAATGTGTTTTTTTATTAACAACCACACTTAGTATATAAGTGATTTTCTTGAAATATCTTATGCAATACTTAACGATATTTATTTCGTGAATTGGAAAGAGTCAATTTTGCTTCCGAAACGCATCTTTCTTTTTTTTTGCAATATATGTAGATACACAGTTATTTTTAAAATAGTAGATAAATGTAGTGTCAACATTGTACTAAAACAGTTTAATTTGTACATACAATGCGTTGACCCCTGTCTCTGCTTGTGTTTGCTAAACCACTTTAACCGGTATACGGTTACTGATGGATTGTGTTGCGAAATTCAATAGAATAATGTGCAAAACGGAGTGCATTTTGTGCGGTGAGTTATTTTTTCTTTTTGTAAAAGTACAACATAATATGTACAGAAACCTTACAAATATAATATGTGTTAATTATTACAAATTGCCGATCATTTTGAGTTAACGTTTTAGTCTACCAGACCACAGAATTAGCCTAGCACGTATAGCACCGCTTGACCATTGCAATGACTATCAGAAAACAGATGTGAAGTGGTATTCCACGTTTCGTACGATTCAAATTTCCCTTTTCTTATAAGGAAAGGATGAAAAGGCGAGGTGATTTTATCTGAGTAGGAGATACAAAGGAAGGGGAAATAT